CTGTGAAAGCAAAGGAACTTCCAGGCCTGGGCTGTAAAGTACTAGAAGGCAGCAAAGAGATTTCAGCGCAGCACCCGTCTGCTAGCCCTGCCTTCAGCAGTCGCCGGATCTACTTTTTTGTGCATGGACTAAAGGCAAAGCAGAGTCATGAAAATTGTACATTTCTATGAAGTAGCATGGATTTGGAAAAAAAATGAAAGTTTTTATTTAAAAAGGTCTGGAAAGTAGAAAGTGGGAAAGACTGTGAGTTACCCACGCACTTCAGATATTTCTCCCATGTGTATCTTGTTTTCCACCTAGTCTTTTAACCTAATCCCAGTAGAGGGCACAGGTCTACAGTAAAAGACAAAATGCTATTTTGGAATTCATCCTGACCGCTTCCCCTCCCCCACCCCCAAGATTAGAAAGAAATGCTTATAGTTACTACATACAAAGAGCAAATCTTTGTATTATTTGGAAGGGCAAAAGTATCTGTACAGCATGAGATCCATATCACAGCAGTTGATCTGAAAGGAGCCTTGGTCCTCAAACTGCTTGGCTAACTCCAGCAGCTCTGGGGGGCAATGACGTTTTTCTCTTCTGGTGAGCCCTGTGCTCCAGCCAGCACAGGTAACTGCTTAGTCTCTATGCGTTTTTTGTACACAGGGCTGTACAACTTGATATACTGATTATAAATGCAGATACCGTTTTGTGATTCATAGAAAGCTGAGCTCCTCTTTATCTCACCAGTTTTATGCAACTATATATGTGAACTAAGACATTGCCCCTCAATATCTCAGTCTGTGTCAGGCGGCAGAGTTCCTCTAATATGCTTTCATATGGCCCTATAAGGATTAAGTTACTGTTAATTTCTTTATATTTCCTCTACCCAATCCAATCTGACAGGCTCATCTGGCAGGAGGTTTCCAGTCTGGTCACTGCCAGTGCGTTTGTCAAGGCTGCTTTGATTTTTAACAGGATGTTTACCACCACACAAAGTCCCTCACTGCTATATGCTTCAACAGAAGTAATCACCAAGGCAGCACTTGCTTCTTTCTCTCAGCTCAGGTGAAAGTCATCCCCAAGAGCATGATACTTTTTTCCTGGTGAACCTACAGGTATGATGACAAAGATTCCAATTGCTATGTATTCTCTTCAGTAGCAAATTTCAGCAAATAACACCTGTTAACACTGGCATGCTAATCTCCCTATTGCTTTGACTTGTTTTATGACTTTGAAATGTTGCTTCAGCTACAAGAATGGGGTGTGTGTGTGCGCGCCATAAAATTAGTGCTTATTTCTACTTCTAACATTGCTACTCAACCCTTTTATAAGGTAACACATCTCATCATTATTTTTCTATTTTACCATTAAATGCCCAGACTGATTACAAATAAAAGGGATTGGAATAGTTCTTTTTCATATACATAATCTTATCAAACATTTTAAAAAGAAAGATAAAAAACTAATATAAACTAATATCAAGTAAGGAAGAAAAAAGAAAAATAAATCAAAAAGAAAGTTAAAAGTGCAAGAAAAGGAAAAAAGTAAAAGAAAAATAGAAAGAAAAAAGATACAAAGAAGTGGCTTCCAATTGTCTTTACAGCAGTTATTATTACAATTATAAATTTACCTCTTTCTATAAAGTTACATGTCTCTCTTCTTTCTATAATCTATCCTGTGTAATCATCAAACCCATAAATCACAAGTTCATTTTTTTCTGTTTTCTGCAAAAGTCCATAAGGGGTTTCCAGTCAGCAATAAATGTATGCATTGTCTTTTCTCTAATCAAAGAAGTCAATCTGGCCATCTCAGTGAGTTCCATCATCTTCACCAGCCATTCCTCTATTGTAAGTATTGCCGAATCTTTCCATTTTTGTGCATACAATAATCTCGCTGCGGTTATCATATACAAAGGGCTGGAATAGTTCAGGAATATGCCACCCTAATTGCCTCTTCATAACTGAAATGATTATTACAGACTAAGACATGGGAGAGTACCTAAGATCATAAAGGCTTAAGGGAAATGGTTACAAGGTTCCCCCCCCCTGCAAAAATAGAATGGCATAGGATGGGCTATTTAATTGCTCTTCACAAATTAATTTGTAACTCATGGCCAGTTCCTGCTAATCAGAGTTTTATACATTATTCTGAAGTAGCCCATGACATGCAATTTTTTTTTCAAGTCACTTTTGACTCCTGATGACTGCCTGGACTAGCTCCTGCAGTTTTCTTGGCAAAGTTTTTTGGAAGTGGGTTGCCATTGGCTCCTTCCTAGGGCTGAGAAAAAGTGACTGGTTCAAGGTCACCCAGTGGCTTCGTGCCTAACGCAGGACTAGAACTCACCATTTCCCGGTTTCTAGCCTTAACCACTACAGCAAACTGGGTCTCATGCAGTAATATGCCTGTGTCCAAAGTCATGTGGGGGGGGGGGGTTAGTTTCAGAGATCAAAACACAAGGAAGACAATATAAGTTTCACATGGATTCCTTTACAGAAGTTCCATGTTATCAATGTATTCATTTGCAGAGGAGCCCACCAAGAACAGTATAAAATAAACATTATGATTTAAATTATAAAAAAAACATGATGCATTATCTTGTATACCTTGTTGTTGAAACATTTAAACTTACTACAGTAAAGGTGCTAATATAAGCAGGGCTGTTTTGGAGGTTTCCTGCTGGACTGAAACATTTTATAATTCTATCTGATGTTTTTCCTAGTTCTAAACAGTCCAGGTAACATAATATCAGAACAGTGGATACAAGAGACAAACATTCAGAATCATTACAGGTAGGCATATATACACAATATAGGAAAGAAGGCAATCACTCTGATCAGTTTGAATAGCTTTTTTATTCCAGCTGTATGACAGACTGTATTGCAGGTCTGTGACTGTTTACAAATGAGTGTGATACAAAATGGGTTTCTAATCTTTTGGGGTCCTGGGGAATACACAAAATTATAAGAAAGTAGCCAGAGTTGCTATCACAAAACAGATACCAGAGAGGTTGGAGTCCCTTTTTTTTAAAAAAAATGATGCTATGCTTTATGAAGCGAATCACAAAACACCTCATGTAAAAGCAAACAAATGAAGGTACAAGATAAATTATTGAATTTTAGGCAAATATGTCATTGCCTGCAATGAATAATAAACATGCAATAAAATGCAAAATTATGTTGCAAGTTTGACTATATATTTCAAACTTTGAGCATTGGTGAAATTATGTCCAGTGGCATGTGCCGTGACTGAAAATGTCATTAACTATTCTAATGGTAGCTTCTTGTTTTCACCTCTAAAATGCATAGCTATAAAATACTATAATCTAACATTTGCAGATTACTATATGTGTATTTCCCCACAAGGCAGCTGCAGTTTTATATTTCCTATATTTTATATTTTCTGCATTCAAATAAGCATGATACTCAACTAAATATTGTTCTTAATATAATGGAATCTTAATACTGTTTCATATCATATACAGTATGAATAACTTTAAAGGTAATTTTCCTCATATGGGCAGACATCGGTAAAGTTCTTCAACAGGCAACTGTTAAATTTGACAGCTAAACTATATGTATCCATGTTTTATTAAGAAAACAGCAGTTAAGATTGTTGATGTGGTGGGGGGGGTGTGTGAGATTGGTAAAGCAGTCCAAAGGCAAAGTTTAATTTCTGACCCTCTGCCATGATTCTCTGAATGGTCATTTGCTTTTCAAGAGCATTTCACAGATTCCAAACTTTCCCACACTTAATCCAGAACATTCATCCTACCCTGCTTACAATACTCAGAAATGGGGAAGGATGAGATTTCTTACACAGTATTAAGATACTAATTCAGTCTAACATAAGTTATCTCATTAGAATTACAGTACAGGAGGAAAAAATTAAATACTTCCTCCCTTTTTATAAACTTAAAAGTTAAATGCAATGAGACATTCAACATCAGCTTGATCTAATATGATACCTGCTAAAATGAAGAATTATCAAATGCCAGAGGGCTACATATGTTTTCTTTTCTTGCAAGTTTGGTAACAGCTACAGTTATTTGGTGTAGTGGTTAAAGACACTGGATGAGAAACTGGGAGATTCTGAGTTGTGGTCCTGTCTTAGGCACAAAAGCCAACTGGGTGACTTTGGATCAGTTACACTCTCTTTGCTCCAGGAAGTAGGTTCTGGTAAGCCAGGAAAACTGCATGGGCTTGCTCCTCCAGTCATCAGACAACACTTATCCCTAGGAAAGCTCACACAATCCTGTAAAAAGTATTAACCATCCTAACGTCTGTGAACAGTGTTAATGAGACAATAATTTTATTGCTTATTTACTTAGGCTTCAAGGTCATGATCTGAGCTGCCTTTACTGCATGTATTTAGAGGGGATGGATCTGGTCTGGTCTTAGTTCAGCCATCCAAAAATGTACACGTTCCCAGGCAGTTGCCTACATCTCTTCCAGGCTGGGAAATCTGCAACTGATTGAGATTCAAAGAGCCTTAATTTCTCTACTTTTTGGAAACCTTTTCAGCTCTCTCTGCATTACAGGTTCAGATGTGTCAGGTTTCTACTCTTCCCTCCCACCCCCACCTTAACACTTTTCTTGTCTCAAATTTCTTCACTTCCCAGGACGGCTTGCCCAGTGCAATGCTTCAAATAGTGCACCGTTGTAAACAAGCCCCAGCCTCCTCTATGTGAGCTGAGCAGGCTCTGATCAGGTGGGCAGAATGGAGCTGTCTAAGTGAGCTCAGACTGGTCTCTTCGGGGCTGAACTTCTCTCCCTTGCAATATTGTTTGGGGTGGTGCTGCCATTTACTTTTGTGGGTCTGGTCTAAACAAGCTCCAGTCCCTTATAAAGGCAGGATGCCTTGTTGGCTCTGTTCAGCTTCTGCTCTACTGGGGCCAAAGAGTTTGCCAAAGAAAGGAGTGGGAGGCCCAAAAACAACGTGCTGAAGGAAGAGCTGTCTGCCCTAATCTCAGAATGTCTGAAACAAGGAGAGTAGGTGCAACAGGGGACTGTCTCACGGAAATGACAGGAGATCTAATTTCTCAGTCTGACACGAAGAGCAACTGCAGCGGTGCAGACCAGGGACCCTCCAGCAGAAATTCTGTGGTCATCTGCCAAGCAGTTCAAAGAAGTATCTTCACCTCTAGCACATCTTCAGCAGCTGAGAGGGTTAGCCTGATCCTGAAACAGGAGGAGAAGAATGAAGAAGCAAGCTGTCCCATACTATTTATACAGCTCTCCGAGCTCTTCAGTACAGCTGAAGGACTGGAATGGAGGCAAACTGCCAGGTAAGCTCACAGGGACAAAGATAGGGATAAAGCCCATTCTTTACATGCAGGAGCCCCCTTTTTAGTGGGGTCTGATTCCAGGAGACCTGCCTGGTTGCCCTTAGCTAGCAAGGGTGAAATGGTGCTAAAAAGAAGTGGGACTGTCAGAGCAAGGCTGTAAGGCAGAATGCCAGGACCCCATTCCAAAGGAGCTGCGTTGAGTCACTGCATTTTAGAGCCACACACAAGAGTGACACCAATAGGACCATTCAGTCCAGAGCCTACAATTACCCATCTCCTTCGTTGGTGGGAAGTTACTGCTGCCTCCCTCCATTTTCCCCTACTATTTCTCTCCTTGCATGCATAGATGTGAACAGAAGGCCTTTCCCCACTTGCATTTCAGTATGGTGCAAACATGCTCTGGCAGCATCTCTTCTTTGCCATGTGTCAAGATGTTGCTTTCATCTCATCCACAGCCCATGAGTCGGACACCCTGAAGACATCCTTGGTCGTACTGGATCAAAGTAATAATTTCCCCCTTATTCCAGCCTTCTGCAAAGCAGCCCCTGATAGTCTGGCTCTCATTATCTTGGAGTGCACTGACTGGGAACATAGGCCATACTGGCATGACAGGGATTGGCAAGGAGACAACCAATTTCATGCCAAGCTAGATATTTGCCAGCTCAGATATGGGTGGAGAGCACCACAACTCCGTGATGAAGAAATGCCCTTCGAGCAGTAGAGTAACCTGTAAGAGGCACTTCCATCTGGTGCCACTGGGAGGCATTTCCCTTGAAAGGGGGTGATGCAGCAGAATGTTCATATTTCGGAGCTGTGGAGCCCTAGAACAGAGTTTTGAAAATCAGATTACCTGTGCATGGAAGAAGAGAGCAGATGAATTTAATAAATAAATAAATAAATGGATGAAGAGAGAGAAAAGGGTGCTCTAAGTGGGGAGAAGAGAAAATTCGAGCCACCTTCCATTTCTCCCTCTTTTACAGGCAGCAGCTGCAACAGAAGTCTTGTTTATTCCCCCCCCTATATGAATATCCTAAGCTATGCAAAAAAGGCAGAAATTAAAGGAGCAGTCCTGTGACAGGCAACAAAGCTGGCCGGTTGCTTATTCCCAGTTCTTTATTCTTAGGAAACTTTTGAATGACAGTTAATCAATGAATTGAAAATAAACCAAAATTGATATAAAGCGATAACTAGACATTAAACATAAAATGTACATTATTATTCATCTCCATTCTGTCCTTCAAGATAAAAATAACTCAATATAATTCAATATAATATGTAATATATAATAATATCAAAAGAGTTGCCTTACTTCAAGGAAAAGTAATACATGATAAACCCACATACAGAACTTACAGATTGTGTATCCCACAATTAGCCATAGGCCACCAAAAATTAGTATATCACATATTCAGACTGTCATTAACCTAATGGTAATGCATCTTGTCCTGCCCAAAGCTTATCATATGCAGACAGCACTGCTAACCCTGGCATAATGAACCAATTCTGTTTAAAATAGATGGGAATGAATGCACCACAAAACCTTTAGGATACATCACTTCATACACCTGTATGTCCAGGAACCAACTAAGTTCATTCTTGGCCTCTATTTTCCTCCCCCTCCCCTCATTGCAGTCAATCTTTTAATGATTCTGACTTCTGAGCACTATTCATTTTTAATCTACTGTACACACAGCAGAAACCACTGATTAATAGGTCTATGATTAAATAAACTCTGAAAGTATGGGCGGAGGGGGAGGGAAGAAGTCCAACAGAATGAAAGGCTGTAGGAATGAACTTCTTGGGAATGATGATATCACAAAAAGATTACCCTCCAAGTAGAGACAAGAGTCTAGTACTGTAACATTTTTCCAATGAACAAATTTTGTTAAAAGGCATAAGCTTTCAAGAACTTCAGCTCACTTCACAAAATCTTATGCCTCGTTATAAAATTTTTTAGTCAGAAAAAGGCTATCAGACTTCCAATTTTTTGCCACTGTAGACTTTCTTCCTATAGTGCCTCCACGTAGTGAGAAGTACTGTGAAATATCTTGATATGGATCCTAAATGTTTGATTTATATCCTGCTTTACCTTCAGGAAGCTCACAATGGTTTACATAGTGATCTCCTTCATTTTATTCCCACAACAACTCTGTGAAGAAGGTTGATGTGAACCTGGGCTCCTCTGTCCTATATTTTTCTACCAAGATAGAGATGGAAATTGCTGGACACATGATTACTACGGTAAAGATTATGGATTATATAGGAAATCATCTTCCATTATTTACTTCAGGGAGTTCCTTGAAAAATTATATACTTACAGCAGCTATTATTTTGTGAAGCCTCTAACAATTCGTAAAAATCCCAAATGTCTCCAAAAGCCAAAACAAAAAACAAAAAAACCCCACCCTCTACTCATCATGGATTAACTGCTAAAGAACTACATATCCCAAACAATAAACTTGCTTAAACAGAGATCTATGCCATTTGCTCCTTCAGTTTAGCTGTCTGAAATTTGACAAGTTTTATCCAGACAGAAAAGGCAACAGTATCTGCAAATATCATCTAATATGTTCCAAAACAACATAAAGTTTAAGTATATAAACTTCCTCTGAATTTGCAGGAATCATGGTTTCCTGTTTTCTAAATGTCATTCCATTCTCTTGAAAAACAGACAGAAAATAATTATAATTGTGTGTGTTTCCTTAGGCTATTCAGTGGGAATGAAGCATAAACAGGTTGAAACTGGCTATTTTCTGCAGTGCCCCCTCCCCCAAGATAAAGTCTTCTTCAGGTCCAGCTTGCTTCCTGGGGACATTGTGGACAACATCCACACAGTTTTCTTGGCAGGATTATGGAATTGGTTTGCCACTGCTTTTCTCCTGGATGTTTTTTCCAGCTTCTCAAGGCCTGGGCCTGTTTAGCTTCTGAACCTAAGGAAGTCAAGTCAATCAGGTGCTGTCACCTGTTGAAACCTGCAGGGCCAAACTGAGCTTAACAACATCTCTATCTATGTCTGTAACTAACTTCAGCTGAATGATCTTCCTCCTCCTCCTCCTGAAGTTTAGGGTTTTTTTTAAAAAAAAACTTTAAAAAGCGTATAAACCATGAAAGATAAAACACATATAAAAAGTATTTAAAAAGTAAAACACAATTAGTAAGATACAAATAAGTAAACATGTGTCTAAAATGTTGTGGATATTATTGTTTTCAATATATCATTAATTGCTCACAAAGTTATGAATGTATCACTTTTTAAAGAAAAGCTAAGATTGGCTGGTTGACACAGTATAAATCACTAGAGCTGTAAGCTATAATAAATTGGAACAAGACTAAAAATCCAATTTTCCATAAGTTTGAAACTCTAAACAAGGAATATCCCACATTTGGGGTGTATATTAAACTATAGTCCAGGAATGATTTCCAGTTAGAATTATTTTACATCACATTTATTTTTTAAATATGAAGTTATTATGACAATGAAGCATATGCCCATAATTTTAGTAACCATTCTTCCAAGGAAGTAATTGAACATCCTTTCCAATAAGAAGCATATAAAATCTTAGCTGTGGTTAACATATATAGAGCTAGTTCAGTATACTTTGAAGGAATGCATGGTTTAGTAAAATTTAACAACAATATTACAAGATGCAAATGGAATTTAACTTTCAAAATTTGTTTCATTCTAATAGGAGTTATTTTCCAAAACTTGAGTTTACAACCTTGCCACCAAATATGAAAAAAATTATCCAACCTGCTCATAGCATTTCCAACTTTTTTAGAAAATGAATTCTTAATTTTAATGAAAACTGGAATAACATGCCAATAATAGAACATATTGTACCAATTTTCTCTTAGTATACTATTTGGGGTAAATTTAATATCCTTCTTTCACTGAAATTCCAATTGTTTCATCTCTATTACTGCATTCAAATTCTACACCATGCAACCTTTGATTTCTTCTGACACTGAGTCCTATTTCACTAGTAGGTTATAAATTAAAGCCAGTAACTGTTCCAAATTGCATGTTATAATATTTTCAAATTCTGTCAAGTGCCCCTTAGTTTCTGCAATTCTTTTCATACTACTGTATATCACTTATTTAAAGGTACAGAAACCAGTGAGGTAAATTAGACCACTGTGAGGTAAGAGTCTCAAAATAGTTTATCTTCCTCTTATTAACAATTTCAGACTTGCAGTCTGAACAATTGTTTCCTTTCCACTGGAAGAATTTTTTTGGTATCCTCCTCTTCATCAAAATGTGTACATTTTCCTCCAACATGCCTACATCCCCTCCATGCTTATCTCAGTAATAAATGATTTTGTTCAAAATGCTGCAACTCATTTGGCCATCAGTTGATGATGCCTCTGTGGAAGTGCATGTCAATGGGAAAAACCAGAGTACAGGTAAGAGAGGAGACCAGGTCTCTTCACAAGAAGAGAGGTAAGGCCATCCTTGGGAGAGCAAAGAGTCATGCAGGGAAGAGGAGCAGATTGGGGACAAGTGGCAGGTATAAGTGGAGACCAAAAGGAGAAGAAAGGTGCAATCAAGGCAGTGTTTGTGGACATGGCAGAAGGAAGCAAGGAGCAAATAAAACCACAAGCCAGAGGTAATAAAGGCAGAGAAGTCAGATGAGGCTCAGGGAGATAAGAAGTATAATAGGAGGAAATAGGTAAAGAGGACTGTAAGAGCTGTGTGAAGAAGGAGGACAAGCTACACAAAGAAAATATGGGGGAGAGCAAGCAGGAAGTGCAGTGGCAGGCAGGGCAGGGAAACCATTTGGGGTCAAGGGGGTGAGGCACTGCACCAGATACTCCATATGCAAGTGGCGGACATGCTTTTTGCACTCTTGATTCAAGGAAGTCGGTTATGCTTAAGTCTCCTTTCCTATATCCATCTACAGAAGAGGGCTAATTGAGGTTTGCATTCAATGAAATAAAATGGACTCAACAATGTCCTTGGAATGGTAGCGTCAAGGCAGACACGATGGTGGAATTACTTCTTTAATGAAGCTATTTTATTGCAGGTGGATAAAGTTTGAAGAAAAAGTAGAAGATGGAGGAGAACGTTGGAGTAAACCTCATGTCACAACGCTGCCCCTTTACAGTCTGTTTGAACTAAGGACCTGTATAAGAAAAGGAGCCATTCTGCTAGACTTGGAAGCTCATAGTTTTAAGCAAATAGTTGGTATGTAGGAAGTGTAGAAAAAAATAAGCTCTCCTTAATGAGGCATATTCTGTTCTTGATTAAAAGCAACTCCTTCAATGAAAACATTGGTTTTTTAATAACAAGCGTTTGGCTCAGTGTAAGCTTTGGCATTGCGTGGTTTATGCTAAGGTGTATTTCAGGGCTGCTGCAGTAAGGAGTCTAAATGTTTTGCATAATTTCAGATAAGTTCATATGCAATGAACCATTCAGCTGAATGCTGTCATTTATTCTGATTAGGTAAGGGAAATTCGGTTAGGAGAGAGGACCTGACTATGGTCTCTCCCCAGCTCTTTATGATGGGGCTTAACTGCTTGCAAGGGTTTTTCTCAATGTAGAAATTGGGAAGAAATGGGCAATTATGCAGCTTTTCTGCAGTGAAAATCCAAGACCTGCAGATAAGAGCTGTCTACATTAACTTCTGAGTACACATATATTTCAGAGCTGGAAAAGTGGACAGGAATCTCATTCCACTATATCAACAGTTGCTATCTTGTGCCAAAACATTAATTCAAGAAGTTACTTTTGGTTGTATCTACTTGACATAGTTCCTGTTTTTCTATAGGGCCAAGGGTCCATTTGAAGCTTGAATTTATCTATGTAGTATTTTTGCAAAACTCAGGCCTTTAATGGTGTAATGGAAAAGAAGTGCACAAGAAAGAAAAGCTGAGAATTAGTTTACAAGTGGGATTGTTGATTACTTCATCTGTCACCTGCAAACTTCCCTCTTCACTCTCAGAGCACAGATGCAATCCTCAGAATAATGGGGAAGAGCCAGAAGAAGATTTTGCCCAGCAGCAGCAAGAAAAAAATGACTCAAGAATCTTCAGCTTCCAGTAGTATCATATCTCATGATTCTTGTTCTTGTGCCCTGTTAAATCCTTCTGCCCACTTCATCTAAAGAAGCAAAGGATGATGGCTCACTTTTTTGTATGAAGCCATGTACATTTAGTGCAAAAGTTAACATAAACTTGGTTGGAATCCTCCAGTTCATTACTGGGGGCAGCATTTAGCAGAATGGATGTGTACGAATAAGCCCATTAAAAATATCTAGCCATGGTTGCTTAAGAAAGGATAGGTAACTTCCTCAGAAGTATGTCATGGTAGGAAATGTAGGATTGTGTGAATTCTTTCCTTATGGTGAGAGAAAAAAGGAGGAAGGACTGTTCCTGTAGGAAGTAGGCTAAAGCCTAAGACTCTTCCAGTCAGGGGAAAACAGAAAAACAGAGAGAAACAGGAATTCCCTCGCTTGCTGTCGCTGCTTCTAATACCATTAGGATCAGTAAAATAAAAGTTGCAAAACATCGATGCTTCTTGAGCTGCATGGCCAGCACAACATACTATAGGGCATTCTCAGGGTGTAGAAAGACAGTGTAATCTGCTCCAAGAGCCCAAATCAGAGCTACAAAAAAATATTTCAATCTGCTGCAAGTCAATCCAGAAGCAGTCCTATTCAATTTTGTCGCCAGATCCACACTGTGATTTGGAAAAACAGGTGTGCCATCAGCTCCCAAGAACTAGTTTGCTTTACTGTAGTTTATTAATCCAATCAAGCTTGTGGCCACCTGTTTTGCCTGCCTGGCAAAATACAGTCTAGAGGAAGGAAAGCCATGATATGCCAAGGCCACCTAGTGGGTTCACATACCACATTAAGCCACAGCGTGGTTTGGCCTGGCTTTGGCTTAGAAAGTTAAATGAACCTCACCAATGTGATTTGTAAACCATAGCTTAGTCCATTGTGGAAACTCAGTCACTTGAGGTTTATTCAGTATAAAATAGTTACCACAGCATGTAAATCAGGCCAGTGAGTCAACAGAAGAACAAACAGTGTAGGAAAATTAGATACATTCCACCGACTCCATCCTACCCAAGACTTATCCTACTGTGCTTGCTGTGGAGTTAAACTAAATCTTAAAGATTGCAGGTTTAACTTAGTAAAGGGATCCATACTAAATTGCTGGATTCCCTGATCTTCAGTTGAATCAGTAAACTGATTTATTTCTATTTCATTAAAAATCATTGGTAATTAACATTGGAATTACAGATACAAAATGTCTTTCAATAAATTTCAAAAGGTAGATAGGATTACAGAAAAGGAAATGACATCTGCTTTTTTAGTAGCTTCAACTTGTGTTCATTTTATGTTCAAGAGAAAGTGATTGAGATACAGGTAGAGAAGCATGCCTTCAAGCCAGAGCTCCTGAAGAAACTTACCTGTGTCTTACTCCTCAAACCTTATCACCATACAACCAAATCTCAGCTGAAGATGCTGTTTGAGATGGGCGTGTCCCCTTGTGCTGGTATGTAACTCTGACATTTTTTTTCCCAATTCAAGTCTGAAGCCATTTAGCTAGCCGCTCATGGGTCAGACATAAGTAGCAGGGAAAAAAGTTCATAGTTTAACACTGATGTGTGCATATTAGTGGCAGCACTACAGCATTTGCTCCAGTTTTTGACAGCACATTTTTAAATTGTGGATCTCATTGCCTCTTTCAGAGGTATCCTAGGTCTAGTTTGTTATTCTATATAAATGGGATTTACTTCTTTACTTTCTTTCCTTAAATCCAAGCATGTAAGGAGTATTCTTCCTCCCTTCCTGTCCCTGTTATTACAACAGCAGGAAATAAACATGCATTACAGGGATGCCTCTGGAGCATTTACAGAGGGGAATGGAAAGGACTCTCCAGTCAGAAGTGAGAGTGCAATAAATAACTCTTACAATGCGAATATATAATTTGATCCCCTTGCAAAGTTAGGCAAAAATTCTGACAGCAGATGAAGGTGGCAAAGCAGAAAGCAGTGAGATCTGAAGTCAGCAACAATAGCTGGTAGAAAGGTTCAGTATGCTGCTAAAATGGTTACAGGCTTGCATTAAAATACTTAATAAAGTGTGGGATTTTCATCTTCTTCTGTCTTTAAAATGCAATTTATTAAAAAGACCTGAAGATTATCACTTAGTTAATTACAATTGCAATTACAGTGAGAGTAACCCATAATATTTGAGTTACATGGTATATGAAGCATTACTGATTTCTCTTCTTTTTTAAAAAAAATTGTTGCAGATAGGGCTAACAGACATTCAGATGCAAACTGTGAGGTCTCAGAGGTACCCTTAAGGGAACAGGTAAGTAATGGATGTTAAATGTAAAAATGGGGGAGTGATGCAAAACTCTTCAAAAGTGGGACTATCCAATGAAGGATGTTCCCATAAGACCCCAAAAGAGGCGAGATTCCTAAATACAGAATCGGACATAGTGGTCCAAGTGTGGTCTGACCAGAGTAGAGTGGAAAAATTACTCCCTATGATCCAGACTTGGTGTGCCTGTTAATGCACCCAAGATAGCATTTGCTTTTTGAGCAGTTCATCACACTACTGACTCATGTTTAACTTGTGATTGACATCCAGATCCTTTTCACATAGCCAAGCCAGGTCTCCTTGCACTTTTATTTTGCCTACCCAGATGAGGAAAGGGTAGCAGCTGATGGCTTTGAATAGTTTTACTAACTCTCCATCAAGTATTGGATATCAGCACCTGGAAGGCAGTGCACATCCTGCAACACTATAGTATTGGATCTGTGCACATCTGCCTTAATTCCTCTGAGGACAGAATCATTCACCACTACAACAGTCTCTACTTTCTCAAGATGACTTCAGCAGTCAACCAGCAGCAGCAGCAGCAGCAGCAGCGGCAGCCGCCGCCGCCGCGCCATGTTCTTTTGGGCTCTTCCTCTCCTTTTGTCTCTTCCAACTCTTTGCCAAACTCCTGTTTGCTCTGCTGTTTGCTCAGTCTGTCCAATTTGGTTTGAGGCCTCCCTCATTCAGAAAACTGAAGCTTTATACTTCCTTTTATCTAGCATACTAGAAACTGCATACCCCTCTAACTCTTTAATTTTATAACAGAAAGTTATGAAACAAGTTAGACCAATATGCTCCTTAAATTATGATTGATTGATATAGATATAGATATAGATAAAAAGAAAATTCCTGCAATTCTATTTTTGGAGTTGTTTCAAATTGAGATGAGATAATATTGCTAAAAAAACCAACAAAGCTTAATGAATTAGGATGCCCGTGGCTAAGACACTTGAAAGTGATGGTGTTTGGAGCAGGAATGGAACTATAAGAAATGTGCCATGGAAGATAGTGTCTGAATGTTTAGACAAGACAGCAGATGTGGATCAACATTGTTTGAACCTGAAAGGTTCTGTTAGACGTTGAAAATCAGACAAATTTGAAGTCCCCTATTTGTTTTCGCTTGGTAGCAATGATTGTTCTGGGAAGCATTATTGTCTGTACATGGAGGGTGCAGTGCAGAATACGACTGCCATCCAAGTTTGATTGTTCCCCGTACTTTGAGTTCACATTTGCTGCAGTGAGCAGTCTTACTAAGAGCAGCATCAGCATTCTAGTGTCAGGCATGTGAGATTCTCTATGTGGGGGTCTTAGGAACAAATTAAAAACCAAAAACAGTTAGAAAGGGATGGACACAACAGGACAACCAAACAGGGGATTACACAGAAAGCAGGCAACCATATCATGAAAAAGAGAGGTGACCCTATCTATGCAGCATATGGATTAGAGAATGGGAATGGGATATGTGCTGTTAATGTAACACTGGGGATACTTTAAATATTCCTTATGAGACTATATAGTACAGAATATAAACCAGTAAAATTCACGGGGCAAGTGGCAGTAAGAAGTCTCATCTTGCTATAATGTCACAATGGTGAAGTCATTTGGCTTCACTCTACGCATCTACAGTGTATGTACTGAGAAAGCCTTCACCCATATAGATGCCCAGGCTTCCAAGAGGGCCTGCATTGTGCGGGAACCTTTGCTCACACAACCACAGACTCTGAATGCATGAACTCTATTATCACAGCTCTATTATCACAGACTTTAAATGACAGGGTGAGGGAGGTGTTTCTCATATTATATTATATTATATTATATTATATTATATTATATTATATTATATATATACTTTTTAGTAAGAATGTTTACATAGATAAAAGACAAATATAAGATAGAAATATATAAAGAAAAAAGAAAGCAATAGAAAAAAGAAAAAGTGCAGAAAGCAAAATAGTCGAAACAAGAGAAAAAGGTAATTAAAAAGAAACAAAAGTCAGAAAAAATAAGCGACTTCCATGCTTCATTTCAACAGTTATAAACAAACTCCTTGTCCTTCCTCCCTCTTCAATATTACCAAAAAAATCCCTTTAGCCTCTTATTCAACCGTTTTTCAGTCATCAAATCCATAAATCATCATATTACTTTTTTCCATTTTCAGCAAAAAGTCCATAAAAGGTTTCCAATCTTTTATAAAATTACTTATTGTTGATCCCTGACCAAATAGATCAGTTTTGCCATTTTTGCCAATTCTGCCATCTTCACAATCCATTCCTCCATTGTGGGTTTCAGTATTTCTGTTGTTGTGCATATAATAATCTTGCTGCAATTAAATCAATCTTCCATGAGTCTTTTGTAATTGGCTGTCCCAAAGTCCCAGTAAAACTAATCCTGGTTTCTTCTCAAAATTAATATTTAAAATTCTTTGTATCATTGTGTGCATTTGTATCCTTTTGTTTTGTTTTTTCTGAAGTCCACCATGTATGGTAAAATATCCCTTCATGTTTTTCACATTTCCAACATTGGCTAGAAGTACCTTTATACATCTATGATAATTTTTCTGGTTTCATATACGAACAGTACATCATTTTATAAATGAGGGAAGTGTTTTTCCACACTGTTTGCAAGGCAAGTGTTCCTAATTCCTGTTAAAAACCAAGTACCACTAATGATGATCAGATTATGGCAATGGCAATGGAGGATGACGGTATTTCTCAGGACCTGTTCTACTATCTTGCTGTTGCTTTCTGCATTTTGGAAATTTACCACTCTGATGAACTGCATCTGATAAAATGAGCTTATGCCTTTTAATATAATTAGTCTGAAAAGGTACTCCCAGATTCCTTCTGATTTTTGATTACCTACTCTTAATTTCCCTTCACTGCAGCTGAAAAATCAGTTTAAGAAGAAAATTCCAACTGGAACCGAAGTGGCCAACGTTCTTGTAGGAGAAGTCTCTTTCCTGGAAAAGCCCTTCATTGCTTTTGTGCGGCTGCAAAACTCGGTGCTTCTTGGAAGCTTGACTGAAGTTGCTTTTCCTAGCAGGTAATAAAAAAGAACCGAAAAGGAGGTCAGATGAACTTGGCTAAGGACTTCTAATGGAATAGCACACTTCATGCCAATATGCTTGAATGGAGTGAGCAATGTTCTACTATTCTCAGCATCAGGGTGCCTTTGGAAGTTGACAGAGCTGACAGTCTTCTGATACACAACTAGGGGACTACAACCTTCTCACTCACTATATTTAAATATCCAGTTGTGGCAGTTGGGGGTTACCTAAATAAATCACTATATCAACCAGATAAAATGAGTCTGGATCAGTGCATCTCTGCTTTCTAGCATTGCATCTTCCAAGTAGCTAGATGTGTTCAGGCAGAAGCTATAGGGGAATGTTTAATTTGGATTCCTGCCTTGTGCAAAGGGTTGGACTTGATTTGATTTTGATAATCTAAATAGACCCTTCCTATTTCTAGCCTTTCTGAAATGTTCTTCTTAATGCGTGGAAGCACAAGCTAAGCTGGTGTTGAGATCCCAGATCAAACAGACAGTAGCTGAGCTCACACAGCACACTATGTTGTGATGTTTAATCGTATCTTATTGAACAAGCTTGAGTCCACACATAATGTAAATAACAAACCACCATTTGCGTAGATTCAGTAAGGCCAAATAATAGATGTAATTCCTCACCCAAACTGAGGAACAAGCCTAGAACTACAGTTATGTAAAGAGGCCAAGTCTTTATGGGTCTCTTAGGCTCTCTAAGTCTAGCTGAGCTGAAGGGCAATCATGCTCTCCCTTGCAACTGTATGGCACAGCCTAGACAAAGAGACTCCAGGAAGCTCTTCCAGATTAAGAATGGACTCATTTGTGCAGGAACCAGGCATCTAAACTCTACCTTCTGAGTCTTCATCTCAAGTCTTCTGATGCCTCCCACTTTCGCTGCTATTAGCTGTGTATAGGATTCTGTCTCAGTGTCTTGCTTTCAGTACAGAGGAAAATGAACATGGGCTGTATTTATTTACTGATGTACTTTGTTGTACACTGCCCACTCCCAAAGGCTCTGTATATAATGATCCCAGGGATGACTTTTGTGTGCCTGTTTCTAGATTCCTTTTTATCCTCTTGGGTCCCAGAGCCAGAATGAAGGCCTACCATGAAATTGGCAGAGCGGTGGCAACTCTCTTAACAGATGAGGTAAGTCTGGTTGCTGCTGAACTGCTTTTGCCAGATTAGGATAGAGTAGGATGGCACTAATGCCTAGAGGGGAAGACAGCAATTCTTCAATATGTCCAACATCAAGCTTCTAGTTGCCAAGAAAGGATTAGACTAAATCTGGCCATAGAAGGCTCGGCTTTAACTAATTCATTCTTTCATACTCCGTTCATATTTCCTTACATTTCCAGATTTTCATTCAAACTGTGGTATGAACAGAATCTGATTCTTCCACTTCCCTCTCCACTGGAGGCAGGATAATATAATTTAGTAAATCACAAGTCGTTCTCCATTCTGTTTCCACTATAAGAAAAAATAAATAAATTCTAGAAGCAGCGAAGAGCAATAGCAAGTGTCTTTTTAATAGGAGAATGTAACACACACAAGATTTGGCTTCAAACCTGATTCAGAAAATTGTCCAATTTGACTGATTAGGAGGCTAATTCAGTTAAAGGCTGTATCTAAATCTCCTTTCAGAAATCTGAAAGTTTGTGACTCCCACTCTGTTATTCGATCTCAAAAATAAAAGATTTTATACAGAAAATACATTTTATGGAAATGCATTACATTTATAAATTTGTATCTTTTTTTAAGGATCCTGAATATTAATATATATATATATATATATATTTTAGTTCAATTTCTTCATTTTTCAGTGTTTATATACATCCGAATCCACAAACTTTGGTTGGTATACATAGGAGAAATTTCTCCAAAGAGAAATTAATAGTGGAGATGAGACACAGTCTTTCATTGGGACACAGATTGGTTTTGAACTCACAGACCACCCATTAAAGGGTTGAACATCTAGAATGGAAGATATTTACCCCTGAAGTCCCAATAAGGATGAAACTGGTCTTGTAGTGCCTCCTAGTGGTCAGTAGCTAATATAACATCTAAAGCTATAAAAGCCCCTCTTAACCAGGAGGCAGTCTTGAGCCTTTGACACAAGGCCCAGTCCAATAGAATCAAAACTCTCTAGTATGAGAGCATATAGAAAAAAAGAAAGGAGTACTGGCATAGCTCCTATAAGTTAGAAATGATATAGAATTTAGACAAATGAATCATGAGATTGAAACTGATTTCTTAACAAGTACAGGTAGTCCCTGGGTTAAGAATGCCCAGTTTAGGGACCCATAGTTAAGAACGAAGCCTACTGTAGCAAAATTTGAGTTAAATACACAGTGATTCAAGTTAAATACACAATGGTTCAATTTCATTACACAGTACTACTTATACAGTATTATGCAGTATTATACAATGATACCGTTCTGGCTTACATACAAATTTGACTTAAGGACAGAAATTGGGAATGGAACTCATTCTTAAACTGGGGACTACCTGTATTTAGTAGCAAATATAAAGGAACTTATATACTCAAACTGAATCAGAAATGAAGAATTTACTCAAATTGGAGGTCTAACTAACCAACGGTTATACAGCCAAATACCAATGTTATTCAAGAACAGATAGTATTTTAATCTCATTTAAATTATGTTTGCATATTAGCAAATATGCAACTGAAATAACGATCAGTTATGCTTCAGTACTTCAGTATGTGTGATCCATTGCCTTCATTATCCTTCAGTTTAAAATGGAGATTAAATATTTTGTTCCTCAAGTAAACAATTAAGCAGAAGCAAAATTGTGTGTTATATAAAACACCATAAAAATTGTTATTAAAGGACATTTGAGAAGTGTGTCTAGTTGCATTTTAAAAAGTAACAAAATTTAAAATATCAAATAGTAGAAGATTTTTTAAAATGGAGACTACTTGAAATATTGATAGGGAATATTTAAATATAAAATATAAAGAGTTGTTAGCATTGAAGACATTGAAAGTGAGAATTAGAGAAATTTAATCTTCTTAAAATATAGGCATTATGACTTTGGAAATGATTCTTCAAAATTATTAGCTTTTGTGATTAGAAAAATAGAAACCTCATTATACTAGTATAATACTCAGGCCCCACTGAGCAAAGGAAAAGATATGTAGAATGCTTTTTATAGAATAGTCTCCTTTTATTTATGGGTCCATAACCATGTGATATTAAAACCACTCATTATTTATTTTTATTTGGCTTATAAGTCATTCCAATGGCTAATAGCTCTGAGCAGTATATATCCCAACATCTGTAAATCAGGTTAATAACATAAATGTATAAAATCAAAATCCAAACATATATCAACATAAATAAATAGCAAGAGTATCACTTAATATCCAATACCAGAAGGAGCAACATTGCAATAACACAATCCACAAGAGATGCTGAACTCAATCTTCTCAGATGGGCACATACTCCTGGGAATAGGCAGTCCTGCAATACCCAGGTCCTGAGCTATGTAGGACTTTAACACTGACTACCAGCACCTTAAATTGCACCCAGGAGCCAACCTGCAACCAATGCAGCTCTTGAAGTGGCCTCCTTGGTTGTATCAAAGCAGCAAAACTGGGTAGGACTTCATTTGTTCATTTATTCATTCAATTGACTTAACCCTGCCTTTCTCCCCTTTCAGCAGTGAAAGAAATAAGAACCAGACTTTGGTGTATTTGTTCATTCAAGCTACCTTTATATATCAGTAGGAACAGTCTTGGAAAAAGGATTGCCTCCTAGGTTATGTAAACTGAGTTGTAGTCTGGTTTTACTAAATCAAGGAAGCCACTTCACGAAGTTGTATTTTTGTTCCTGTGCATCTTATCCTGCTATTCCTGCAAAAAGGAATATCCAGAACTAATGATATTGCCTTCCAGCTTTTTCAGAGAATTGCTTGGAAAGCAAAAGACACAGAAGATCTCATTGCAGGAATTGATGAGTTTTTGGATGAGCTGACTGTCTTACCACCAGGCAAATGGGATCCAACCATCCGAATTTGTCCCCCCAAAAGTTTGCCCTCACCACAGAAAAGGTATATTTACTGAAAAGAAATGCAGATGGAGAGAAAACCATATATCACATTTGACAAATCTAAGGAAACCTAATGAAAATCTAGGGAAAAAGTATTGTACTATCACATGCTTTATCTGGATATAAATCCACGTATTCCTCATTTATAGTACAGCATCTGGTGACTTTCATCTAGAATAGCTTATGTGTTGCTGAGATGTTCCATTTTCCCAGCTCTGTATCTTGTTGCTGAAAAAAATGCTGTTCTTCCACCTGTCAGTATGACCTCTGCAATCCTAGTTGGTTGAAGTTGTGAAAATGTCACAGATTCAGTTTCCCAGAGAAAATTGTGTCACTGACTGATATGCAACTTAACTGTATGAGAAATCTGTTTTCTCATTCAGTTTGATAATTTCTTAGAAACAAGATCATATGGGAAGCATGTGGCTGTGCTATCTGTTTTGTTTTGCTTTGAAATGGGTGTGATAAGGCAGTGGTAAAATTCCCTACAGCATGCTGCCACCGCTTCAGAAAACATGTGAATCCCACATGAGCTCTTTCTCTGGATATTGTGTTTTGAGACAAATACGATTCAGGAATATATTTGCCTACATACCGATTCATACTGTTGCATTGGAAGTAACAGAAATAGCTGGAGTCCGGTTGTGAGAGCCAGGATACAATATTTAGCTCAGAATCAACCACCATCACTGCAATATGGCTTGTGTGTACACAAGAATGGCTGTGTTGCAGACTCTGCCTGTTACATCCTTAGGATCTCCATGCACGTCCGTGACTGGAGTCCTCACGCTAATGGAAACAGATCTGCTGTGGATGATCGACACGCTCATGGGCACCAGCACATCAGTGAAGAGCTGAAGAAGACCGGAAGGTAAAACTCACAGAGCTTTGGCACGGGGGGCTCTCTCTCCACTGTACAGCTGCTGGGGAGAATTGTGCTGCCCTGAAAACAGAGTCAAGTTGAATTTTCTTCTACCCTTTTCTCAAGGGTACAAGTTTAAAAAGAAATATAAGTTACCCAAAATACACATATATAGCAAATTTAAAAAACCAAATATTTAAAAAGTCTTATTTTTCTTGCAGGCTATTTGGAGGGTTATTAAAGGATATTCAGCGAAAAGCCCCTTGGTACTACAGTGACTTCTCTGATGGCCTCAGCCTCCAGTGCTTTTCAGCCATCCTCTATATCTACCTGGCTACAGTCACCAATGCAATCACCTTTGGAGGGATGCTGGGAGATGCTACAGATAACATGCAGGTCTGTGCAAGAATCTGGTAGCCTAAGTCTTTTGTACATTCATACTGATGGCAGTAGGCAAACAGTGTCAGATTACTATGTGGTTATGCAGTCTGGCCGAATTGTATCCATCATTTGAGACCTGGTATGCAGCTAATGTTCAACCAAGCAAAGCCATGTACTTCCTCATATGATCTAGGGTGTCCTGGAAAGCTTCCTTGGTACTGCTTTTGCTGGAGCATTTTTCTGCCTGTTTGCCGGGCAGCCTCTCACCATCCTGAGTAGCACCGGGCCTGTCCTTGTCTTTGAGCGTCTTCTGTTCTCCTTCAGCAGGTAAGTAAAGCTTCATATCGGTATGCATGTTGGGAGGAAGCCTTCATTAAGTGTTCTTCCTTGAGCCTTATCAAGATGACTGGAGATCATATAAGATTGGCAGTGTTTGTGCCTGTTGAATCCCTAATACTCATGCTTGCAGTTTGGATCTACCATTCTGTCTTCTTACCTCAGACTTGAACACTGCTGCCTGTTGGTAATTTAGAACAAAACACAATTGCAGTATAGTCAAGTCAAAATATACTTAATATCTCACACAACTTTTTTTAGGAGTGATTTGATATATGTCCAGGTCAACTTGCTTTGATAAATCTTACTGAAGTATGTCAAACCAAGCTGTTGTGCAAGGGTGTTAGGACACAGGGTGGAACATTTACAAAGCCAGCTTGCAGTAAGAAAATCAGCCAAGCTTCTCTTTCCAACATGGACTATTCAAGTGCAAAGAGGATACCAAACATGACAGCGAAGTCTTGCTCATCGTTCAAATTTATCCTTCCCTTAAATAGTACCTTCCCATTATGGTAGGCTATAATTCCCATCATGCCTACCCAGCAAGGCCAAGTACGTACTAGCTGGGCATGATAAAGAGTTGCATTCCAGCACTGCCGCAGAATATACTGTAGGAAAGGCTGGTTTTGTTCACACATCTTCAGTATATTCTGGTAGTGTATTCAGTGTATTCTGATAGTGTAACTAAGGAGAAACCCTGGCTCCTGAGCTCCAGCATTGAAGAAAGGGCCTGTTCTTCCCCAATGGAGGCATTCCATTGCCCTTAATTTATTCCCTGAAATTATTTGATGAATGGTATGAAAAGCTGACACGGGCACTTCATCTTACCGTCTTTCTGCCCAAATAAGTGAGTCAAGCTGCAAGGCAGTAAAAGTCAGTTATTAATGGGGATTCATTATTGGTGATTGAATGTTGATCTCTTATTAGGCAAAAGAGAGCAATTCCAAGGGAAACTCCTCAGTTTAACTTGAGACCTGGGGCTAGTCATGCTGGAAATGGATTAACTGTCTGGCTGCTAAAAGCTCAAGCTTCATGTTATAAAACTAACCTGTTTAGAGATATCATTTTGGCTCCTCCCTCCCCTCAGAGACCATGGCTTGGATTACTTAGAATTCCGCCTCTGGATTGGCTTATGGGTGGCTTTCTTTGGCCTTATCTTGGTGGCCACTGAAGCTAGTTACTTGGTGCAGTATTTCACGCGCTTCACTGAGGAAGGCTTCTGTGCCCTCATCAGCTTCATTTTCATCTATGATGCTGTTAAGAAGATGCTGTCCCTGGTGGAACAATACCCAGTCAACTGGGATTATAAAATCAGTGACGTCACCTTGTATGGCTGTACCTGCAGTCTGACCGAGACAGGTAAGAGGAACAATCAGCAGTCTCGTGATGAGAGGATTGGGTGGTGATCTTTGGGTGACTTGCCATTCTTGACAAATACACAGTAAAATAAATGTTAATGTATTTATAACTTAAATATAACTACAAGACAACAAGCAACATAAAATAAAAACAACTGTGAAGCAATTCAAATTCAATGCAGTTCAAATTCAAACCAAGCCAAATTCAAAGATATCACCAGTTCTTGGAGCAACATAGTGTGACCATGCATTACAAATCTTAATAACTAAGAAAATATTTACAACTAGGTATCGAAAATGTAATGTGGGTATTTATCAAATATAGCTGGGACATTACCCCCTGCCCCCAAAGGTTGATGCAATCAGTAAGGCCCTGTTTCAGATAGTTATCCAACATACTTCTGTGTTGGGCTGCAGAGGTTTATTTTCATGTTTTCTCTGTCTTGTACTTGTCCCTGTTAGTAGATCAAGGCAGCCTAAACCAGTCCCGCATCTGACACGGGCTAACTGGAAGCGCTAAAGGGCTCTCCCATACCTCAAAGAAAAGCTCTGATTGGCCTAAGCAGCCTAATTGGACTTGAAATCAGCCACACAGAAAAGCAGGTACCTGCACAATTTGATCCAGTTCTGTCCAGGTATTTTAGTCTCCTGCACTTAGACAGTGCCTAGCTTTATAAACAAGGATTCCTCTGTTTTACAACTGTCAGTCATTTTCTTTTTGGAAATCCAGTATTTCCTGGATGTTGTGGGCAGAGGCTTGAGAATACAGTCTGGAGACATAGATGTATTGCAGTACCATTCTCATCTTCTCTGAGCCAGCCTGCGTTTCTCTGATATTGCTATTGTTCTGATTTGTCTTGAATTGTTCTTTGATTAAATCACTGTTTAAACCTTTAAACCACAGTGTCCACTTAACAGCTGGCCATGCTGCAGACCTATCTTTAGAGTTTTGGCAAGAAATAATATGTATTCCTGTTATGTTACCAACTTGTTTGTGAATGCATATCTAGGATTCAACAAAACAAATATCTGAAAATTCTGTCAAGTTCTTAATTTTCTTACCCTCTCCAATGAACTTCTGATATCTTGGACAACTGTTTCTTGCAGGCAACTCTTCTGTCCTGAACCAGACCCTGTTCCCTGACCTCAGCAGTTTTGGAGAGGTAACAAATGAAATTATTGTCATTGACTAATACTGTAGATGTGAATGAAAGGCAAGGCAACCATATCTGGATTGCAAAAGGCCCGGCAGCCACTAGATGGCAGCAAAGGAATAAACAAGACTAATTCTTGGCTGCTATTTTGAGGCCCTCCACAATTTTGCAGGCCAGATATGATAACCCAGGAAAATAATGGAAACTGAGATATAGAAAGTGCATAGTATGTTATGATTAACGTGTTTGATGCAGACGGGATCAAAATTCTGTACGTCTTGGAGAGCTCCAATCTTTTTCCATTTTTTAACTGGGACATGTTGCCCTTTTGCTTTTTTTCCTGCTGAAGACTTCTCCACCATCAATTCTGCTGATTTAGTATCATTTGAGAAAGTCACAGCCTCACCTAACCTTCTCAGAATGTCAGAAGACTATCGTACCAGTAACGTTAGAAGCTGAAAGAGCACACACAGATTTTTTCCTAAAACTGTATCTTGTTAAAAGTGAAATTCCCAGATTATCAATGGCGGGGGTTCAGCATTCACAGAGACTGTCATGAGAAAGAAAGACGTAATGTTTACCTGTGGTTATAGCCTGGAGATGCTCAACTCTCTTTTTTCTAAGCTCCTACTCCCTGTAGCGAAGAAGCAGGGTATGTATCCTTTGTTTTCTCTGACGTAGGACTCCATTTATGCTTTCCACCCAGTTTGCCAGGGAGTGGGTGAATCTAGGAGTTAGGCTGCACCTGGCGCTGAATTCCTCTAGAAGAAAGCAGTTGGGACGGGAGGACGTGCAGGCTGCCGTCCATATTTTCTCCTTGGGCTCATGTTCGGATGGGTGCATTGTATTCGTCAGATTCAGAAAACGGGTCCAGATAGTTTACATGTGATACACATAAGCACATAATAAAACCCTAAAAACCAGTCTTAAAAATAGGCCATAACATAATAGCGTGTATATTATGTAGGTTAGGCAGGCATGCACTTTGCTTGCTTGCTTGCTTAAAAAACTAATCCGAACATGGGGAAGTTTTTTTTTAATGGTGCTAGATTAAAAGCAGGAAAAGCAATAATCCAGTACAGAGCTCTAAAAATAGCATACTTAAAACTGTTAAATACCTTAAAACTATAACTCAGCTATGACACAGGACAAAATACCAAACCACGTTCCCACAGCAAATGGGGAGTGCAGCATATTAACTTGGGCACAACCAAGGATCCCTCTTCCATTTTAGCTAATAATATAATTTTCTCTCATATTCAGTGACAGCTTGACCCAGTCTGGTGCCTTGCACACTGGTTGGATTACAATTCCCAGGGTTCCCAGCTTGCTTAGGCCATTGAAAAAATGGTCTAAATGTTTCCTTAAGGGTGGTGGTGTATACTCATTACCTTGAAAACAAGGCTGTTCCTCTGAGGCGTAATCTGTTCTTCTCCACAGCAATCCGACTGGGAATCTGGGAACAGGTCCCTCCTGACCAAGGACCGGTGTGTGCAACTAGGGGGCCACCTGGTGGGCAACAGTTGCAGCTACGTGCCTGACATCACTTTCATGTCTTTCATTCTGTTTCTCGGAACATTGTTCTGTTCTATGGCCCTGAAAAATTTTAAATCAAGTCGCTATTTCCCCACAGCTGTAAGTACCTACCTATCCTATCCGTTACAACAGCTGTTGGTTTGAATCTATGAAATAAAGTAATATTTCCTTCTCATGAGTTAGCTTATGTGCCTACTCAGTCTTCCTGTAATGGCTGACCAACATATGTTCAATTGTTACTCCAATTATTGTACAGTATGATGGGAGCTACAGTTGAACATATTGGGAAAATACCAGGATAGTGATGGCCTACCTGCATAGTAAAAAAGTAGAAACTTGCAGGAAATGGGGAAGAAATAGAAAATGGACAAAGAGGAAAAGATCGTGGGCATGCCTACTTCTTGCTGAAGCTCCCGTTCACATTCCCTCTGTCTTTATTTCTCAAAGCCCCATTTCCATCTCTCCAGTTTTCTTCTCCACTTTAGTTTTCTCTTCTTACTTACATTGCTTCTTCTTTTGGGTGGAAAGAAAGAAGAGTAGAGAACAGCAAAGAAAAACGTTGTGTGTTCTAAGTGAGCGTACTAACCTGTGAAGTTAAAAGTTTATGTGATGAATAGCTGATGATTGCTGAGAAGTGTGTTCTGACAGCTGTTTGATTGCCCATTGTGGGTGATTGTGATTGCCTCCTACTGGGCAAGCAGGGTTTCTTCAGAGACTGTAGAAGGTACATAAGGCAGCCAGTTTCCAGGAAGGAGCTCATTAAATTGGCAGATGGCAAGTTGGCAGGTATTTGATAATACAGATTGGTTCCTAGTAAATGTTATTTCCAGGAGCATATAGATTTAGAATGGAATATAGAATAGAATATGAAGCTGATTCTGCAATCATGACCTGTAATGTTGATGCTATATTTGTTCTCTTGCCTGAAAATAAAGTGTAGGAGGCAGCAAGTACAAACTCCTGGCAGGATGTGAGGAAATACTTAAGAGGGTCAAAAAAGGAGGCACTACAGCAGGAATCGTAGGAAGCAATTTTCTACAAAGAAGTAAAAACAATTAAAGAGTTAACTCAATGGATATGAATTTACTAAAAAGTATATCTCAGTCCTGAAAATATATGATAGTGGTATGCTTAGTTTGAAGAGCAGAATTATAGAAACATATTGATGGAGCTCTGTTTTTGCACTTGCACTTGAATAAGAATCTGGAAGCCAAAACCAACTTCAGCATCGTCTTCCTCCTCTCATGCATCTTTTCATCCACACAGGAGAAACAAAACAGCAGTAATCACAACTGCAAAGAATTCAGACATCAGGGTAGGACTCCACTATCTCCTGCTGCTGCAGGAGCCTACTTGCCTGCATGCCATCTCCTTAAGGTTCAGTTCTATATATATTTAATCAGGAAAAGAACACTGCCTTCAATAAGACTTACTCCCAAGATTGCTGTTTTGGCTCCATAAAGCCCTCCCACGCTTCTTCTGAAGCCATCCATTCTTTGTCACAGACAAATATATTCACAGCATGATTTGTAGAAAGAAAGAAATATATCTTGCATGGGGACTTTTTAGTATAAAACATTTTATTCCTGCATCATTTTTTTAAGTCCAGCAGTTACTTGAGATGAACTGTACATTTGTATATTTGTTTTGCAAATCTCGTGCTGCTTTTTTTCATTTCACTTCTTAGGTAAGGAAGCTAGTGGGTGATTTCTCCATTATTCTGGCTATCCTCATCTTCTGTGGAATTGATGCTGCTCTTGGATTAGAGACACCCAAGCTTATTGTGCCAAGCACATTCCAGGTAAGATTAGTCAGTATCAGACAAAAGAGCTCTTAGCCTAGCCTTAGAACAGCCTCCTTCAAGCTGAACTCAACTCCTGATGACTTCATAGGTACTTCCACATAGTTTCTAGGCAACATTACAGAAATGGTTTACATTGTCTACTTTTATCATGCGTTTATTGATGTCCCAATTTAATCTACAGCCCAGAGATTTTCTGTAGATCTCCCAGGTACATGTTTCTTTGGAGTGTCAAGAATGTGAGCAGAGGGTATTCTGCTGTGATTAGAGAAAATATACACAATCTGCCTGGATGTTCCACATTGTTCAGTTGTCCATACAGACCAGTTGGCAATGCAGCTCTGCTTAATTAATTGCTACTTTAGTGTAGTATTGATAAACTCAATGAAGATGACAGTGTAGGAGCATGGTACCAGATATCAACGGTTAATTTTTATCTTATTTTTTGCTGAACCATGAAATGTGAAATAACATAAGAACTCTGCTGGATCAGGCCAAAGCCTATCTTAGTCCAGCATTTTACTTCTCACAGAGGTTGGTTCCCTCTTGATCGCTTGCAGCAGTAGGTGGAAAGATACCCCAGTCCCACCATTGTACTCATGCGGCTCGTATTTGGAGGCAAGTTGCCCCAACAGAGAGGTAAAACTGAGTTTCCAAAACTAGCAGCCCTTGAATAGACCTGTCCCTCTGAATTTATTCAGTCCCCTTTAAAGCCTACTACTTAGTGGCCATCTTTACATCTTGTGGTTATTAATTTCACAGACAAATTATATGCTATGTGAAAAAGTACTTTCTTTTGTCTATTTTAAATCTCTTTCTAATAGATGGCTAATATTTTTAGACAGGGGAAAATAACAACGTATCCCTGCTCACTTTCTCTTTGATATGCTTAATTTTATACTTCTTCAGCATATCTGCCCTCAGGCACATTTCCAGGCTAAAGAGGCTCAACATTTCATCTTTCTCTTGTAGAAATGGTTTCAGGCCCACTGATCATTTTGGTTGTCCTCTTCTTCACCTTCTCCAGGTTTATATTTTTTTCAAAAGCGGCAACCAGAATTGTGCACAGGTCTCTAGATGTAGATGTATTATAGATCTATATAATGCCATTACTGTGTTGGCATTTTTATTTTCAATCTCTTCTCCAATGATTCATCACATGGAATTAACCTTTTCACAGCTGCTACACACTCAGTGAACAGCAGTCAACATCTTCATTAAGCTATCCAGGTGACCCTATCTTCTTTTTCATGGTTAGTTATTTTAGACTCTAGCAATGGAATTGCCAATAAGTGTGGATCATTTTACACTTACTTAAATTGCACTTGCCATTTGGTGGATCACTCATCTAACTTAAAGAGTTCTTCTGGAGTTTTTCACAACTATTCTTGATTTTTACTATCCTGAATAGTTTAGCATCATCTTCAAACTTGACCACCTCACTGCTTACCCATAAGTCAAGGTAATTTATAAACAAGTTAAAAAGCATTTGTCTCAGTAATGATCCTTGAAGTTCTCCACTACTTACTTCCCTCACTGAAAAACTTATTCCTACTGTTTGCTTTTTGTCCTTTTAAACAGCACTCTATAAAAAGACAGGTCCTCTTATTCCATGACTGCTAAGTGTACTCAAGAGCCTCTGAGGAAGAACTTTGTCAAAAACTCTCTGAAAATCCAAGTGTTGTCAGAGCCAACTTTGTTCACATGTCAGTTGATGCTCTCAAAAAACTTGGTGAGGCAGTATTTACTTTTGTGGAATGCATGCTGAGTTTCCTTCAGCAAGGATATTCCCTTTATGTACCTTGTTATTTTTGATCATAATTTCTACCCATTTAACTAGAACAGACAGTAAGCTGATTGGTCTCTAATTTCCTATACCTCCCCTGGGTTCCTTTTTAAAATTGATGGTACATTGACTACATTCCACAACTACATTCTCTGGCACGGAGCCTCCTTTGAGTGCCAACTTATTTCTTGCCAGGTCAGCAATTTCACATTTGTGTTCTTTAGGAATCCTAGAGTGGATACTGTCAGGACCAGGTGATTTGTTAGAGTGTAGTTTCTCAAGATATCCTAGAGCAGGATTTTTCAAACTGTGCTCCGTGGAATCCGAGGGTTCTGTGAGAACTTGATGAAGTTCATGAGAGACTGATGTGAAATAAAAAGTTAGCTTGAACATAGCCATTTTCTGTCACTAGAGCTTTTCCACTGATTGGGGGTTCCAGAAAATTTCTTTTTAACTAACAGGCTCTACAGCCTGATAATGTTTGAAAACCTGTGTCCTAATATACCCTCCTTGGTATCTCAATTTGCATTAGTTATGCAATTCCTCAAGAGAAACTCAGTTCAGGCTCAGGCACCTGTCTCACATCTTCTGCAGCAAAGACAGATGCAAAGAAGGGATGCT